AAATTTGTTTAAATGCATGCTGTTCTCCAGAAGGCAAAGGCTACTAAGGAACTAAATTGCTTTACACGTTTTGTAGCTGACAGAAAATCTATCCACACACATAGAGACGTATTCCATGTATAGAATTATGGAAATATCAAAGAATACACAAAAAGGGAACACACAACTAGAGCACTGTGTAATAATGGTTAACTTCCAGTACATATTTGGTCTACTGGTGTCTCATAAAAATACATCACAAAATTAAAGCTGCTACTGAAATGAGATAGGAAGAATGCTACCACCTTTTGACTTTCTTAATCCAATGATCTACTGATCAGTATTTTGTTTACAAGTTCGTGAATTGAAAATTCAGAATCTTAAATTCCAGAAATGTAATTATAATCTCTTCTGATGTGCCTTTGGCGAGTGAACACATATTCCATATTTTGTCTGTTTCAACTACATTTCCGTCCTCATGATGCACTTTCCCCCCACCCTCAATGAAGGTCTGACCTCACTGTTCGCCACTTTTGAGCTCCTCCCTCAGAAACACATTCTCTCACTACTTATCTCATCCAGGGTTTTATCAATTTTATCCTGTACATTTGGCTCACCCATTGTGTCCTATTTCTCTATCATGTTATTTAGTAACTGTTTATTTTATTTTGTTATTTCATGTATTTTATTTGGATGTTATTTTTGCTTCTTTGTATTTTATTTTGCTGTACTGCATTTTTGGGCTTGGTCTCATGTTAGCTGCCCCAAGTCCCCTTTGGGGAGATGGTGGCAGGGTACAAATAAAGATGATGATGATGATGATGATGATGATGATGATGATTAGTTCTCGTTCACAAATGTATTTCATATGAAGGGTGAATGTATTTCCATCTTTCAAAGGGAACTGTTGGAGCCATTCATATCTCCAAGGAATTCTTAATGTAGACTGCTGTATATGTATATATCAATCCTAGCCCATTCTGGGTATAACTCACACTACAGTGAGTAAGAGAAAGTACTGTACTGAGTAGATTCAATGCTTAGATAACATTATTCTTAGCCTTTTAGAGTAACGTTGGTCCCACATATGATAGCCCACATTATTTTTTCAATATCAGAAAATATATGTTGAAGCTAAAATACAGAATGCAGATCTGACTGCTTCATTCTCCCAGCATTCCAGATGAATACTACCCACAGTTTCTCTGGCCTGACAGCAGGGTTTTGTTATACACTGTCAAATGAAAAAATTAATCCAGCTATTACATGTTACATTGGTCTTTGATAAGTTGTTTCAAGAAAAGCAAAAGACGTTTGCATTTTGCTTTAGTCTGCAACATTTGGTCATGCTTGGGTGACCTTTCCGAACTTGGAAACTAATAATTAACACTGCATGTTTCTTATTTTAATTCAATTTATAGAAGACACACTTTATGATTTATGATTATCACTCTGCTTCAATTAGACATCATCACTTCACTACAAATGTACTACGTGATGGTTGCATACTTTTGGATCAGTAAAGTAACAATGTTGAGGAATGTGAATACATATTTTGTGTAAATATGTTTCCCTAACCCCTTGTTCCCTGTTCATAATCAACCCCAGAATCGTCTAAGTCCTGTGGGACACTGCTATGATATAGATGGTGGAGGAGGAATGACCTAGCAGTGAGGACTACTTCTTCCCACTGAACTTTCCTAGAGAGAGGCAAGGGAACATGGCCACAATTCCTGTGGCTCTTAATTTGCCTGACAAACTGAAGATGTGAGGGTAGGCAGACTCCACTCCTCAGTCACCTCCCTATTCACTTCACTGGTGGGACACTGAAGATCTGTGCCACAGTAACCCCAATATAATGAGAAGCATTATCTCAAGCATTGAGATCACAGGTCATCAAAAGAACTTTGAATCCAGACCGAAAGCATATTGTCAACTAGTGCAATTCTTTTAAGACTGACTTTACTTGCTGCCTGCAATCAAGCTGCTGCAAACCACACTAGATGCAACTTTCATATTTTCTCCAAAAGCAGCTCTGCACAGTGATAAAGATACATCTAAGAGTATTTCCAAACAACTCCCAATAATAATTAAATATTAATCTTAATTTTATATGATAGGCAATTGTTAATACTGAGTAATATTTTATTCAGTATTTTATTATGTTTATTGATGTTAATTGTAATGAATTTTTTTTATCTATGTTAAATGTTTTTAATGTTTAAACTATTTTTGTACTGTTGTGGGCATCGAATTGTGCCATTTTGTAAACCACCATGAGTTGCCCTCGGGCTGAGAATGGCGGTATAGAAGCGTAGCAAATAAATAAATAAATAAATAAATAAATAAAATTCTAGAATTAAAAGAAATTAAAAATATATTCTATGTCCAACAAGGATCTTGGAAAAGTTCTAGACTACAGGACAATGTCTTGCATTAAGCTGGTCCTGATTAAACCCTTATTCTAATGCAGATTTGATGACAACTTGCTCACTTCCATGATTAAATAAGGCATTGACATAAACTCTTCTTTCTCCAGCATGGACTTGAATCAGCCTCAACTAAAGCTAAACTAAAATTTAGTAAGCTAGTCTCCTTCCTTCCTTCCTTCCTTCCTTCCTTCCTTCCTTCCTTCCTTCCTTCCTTCCTTCCTTCCTTCCTTCCTTCCTTCCTTCTTTCTTTCTTTCTTTCTCTCTTCCGAGCAATGCCTATCTGCCTGCCTATGAAGCTACCCTACAAAGCTAAAACGAACCCGACACAGAGCTCCATCTTTTCCCTTTCCCTGCTCAATCACAAATGAAGGCTGAGGTATGACACTCGGGAATGTAAAGAGCAATGGCTGTGGCTCTGACTGCACTTCCTCTCCTGAGAGGCATGGCTTCACCTTCTGGTAGTGGTTGGTTGCTCTGTGAATTAAAAGTGAATCACAGAGAGTTATGAAATTTACTTACGAAAAATACTAAGTGAAAGTTTTGATTTTTGACATGGGCTATGCCCATGCGTCAGATATTGTGTTGTATGTACGGATCTACCAAATTAGATCTGACTTATGATGGATAATTGAAATTTTGCACAGCCCAACTATGTAAAGGGAGTTCCTCCTGGTTATCATGTTCTTCTGTTCTTGTGGTAAAGGATTCTACACTGTTTTAGAGGAAGCATCTACACCTATACATTCCCATGCAGGTTTCATATTCTATGTTGCGGCATCAAAATAATTTAAATAGATTCCTATGTAAATGGTAACATCAGCATATTTTGTGAAATCCTGCAATAACATAGTCCATCAGCAGAGAAGAACACTGTGGTCTGATTAGGAAGTGATGATTTTTTAAAAATCTAGTCCCATCTTTGGGCTGATTAAGGAAAGAAAAGGCTGGAATTTTCAAGTGTGACATCTAAGACCTGAATCTCAAAGCTTTTAAGCAAGCATACAATCACAGTAAACATCTGGCCCCAAGGGCTCGATTTCAATGGGATTACTCTCAGCAGTTGTATGTTATCTTCTAAGAGGTAAATCATCCTTGCTTGTAATGTTGAAACTTATTCAGCATTCTGAAGAGCACCATTGAAAAATGTACCATATTGTACACCTTAATATCTTTCTGTTGTGTTGCTTCTCACTCGGTTCTATTGTTATGAAGATTCCTCTGATGTAAGGTTACAGTACGATGTCTCTGATTTCCATTATTCAAGGAAAACATTCTCTTGATGGTGTCTCCTTCCAAGGATATATACATTCACTGGCTCCCAGAAAAGAATTATAAAAAGCATATGACGGCTTTACAGACTATTACAATTTGCAGGCTGTTTGAAGAAAAGAAAGGCTGCATATTCTATGTGTTCTTGAGTGTATTTCTTTCCAGAAAAAAAATCTTCATGAAATGATAGGTTTAACAACATATTTTACCCACTGCAAAACAAAAGCAGCACTCTAATGTCTGATCTTCGACAACAAACTAGATGGATGTCAACTGATGCTGAAAACATTTGATGAGTAAATATATGGGTACAATAATAATAATAATAATAATACACAAGTCCATTAAATGAAATGTAATACTTCAGTGACTACATCAGGCTGTGTTAGATATACCATCTTCCAAGTTGCGAAGTGAAAAATATAGTCTTAATCACACTCATGGCATTTAGGTTCACTAGGCCTATTTTTATTTTTTGTTCCTTTATTTATTTATTTATTTATTTGTGATATTTGTATACCACCCTTCTCAACCCTGAAGGGGACTCAGGGCAGTTCACAGTGTTGGCAACAATTCAATGCCATTGATAAAAACAGTATAAAACATTAAAATTGACCCTCCCCTAATAAAACATTAAACATTATTAAACACATCACATAAAATAACATCACTTATCACACAGAGAAATAGTTGTCGTAAAAGGTCCTGGGTCATGGCACTTTCAACTTTCACTTTAAATATTCCTATGATGGGCTGAATGCTTGCTTCCACAGCCAAGTCTTTAGCTGTCTCCTAAAGGTTAGGAGGAAGGGGGCCGACCTAATCTCACTCGGGAGGGAGTTCCATAGCCTTGGGACTACCACCGAGAAGGCCCTGTCCCTCCTCCCCACCAGCCGCACCTGTGAGGTTGGTGGGGTCAAGAGCAGGACTTCCCCAGAAGATCTTAATCTACTAAAAGCCACTAAAAGATATGTTGAATGATATTATTATGCTCTTTGGTTCAGAAAGTAAAAAGAAAAAAGAAAAACAACAATTGCACTAAATTCAGATTAAATATTTGTTTAGGTCCATCTTCGTTGACTACAGAATGCATTCTTCCCGAGGCTAACATTTTAACACTAAGGGAATAGGTTTTTTTAGTCATTTTAAATACCTCCTCATTCTGTTTTTCAGTCTAGAAAGCAAACCTTAACAAATCAGGAGACATCTACTATGGAAACAGCAACATGAAGTGTTCAAAGTGAAAAACATTCAGAAGGCGATTTCAAACAGCATGTATAAAAGGCACATTTACAAGGCATATTTCAGAGGAACACTTACAGAATCTGGATCTCTTTGTTGTTCAAGAAAAGCTGAAAATTCTACCAGCCGAAGTTTAGTTGTTCCAATGGAGCGACCCTGCCAAGCAGGAACTGAGGGTGCTGGGGCTGATGCAGGTTCAAATCCTAAAGTGGGGGAGGAAACAACTTTATGAAACCAGTAATTTATTTGCTTTTTTAAATGAAATCAGTCATTTCTTTGCTTTGATGTTAAGTTGTTTTTATTAAGCATTTTCATTCTTCTCACTAAACCAACAGACAAAGCACTGAGTTTCTCTAGCACCTGCAGATCTTGCATTGACTAAAGGTTCTGCTTTAAAATATTGCTGCTCCATATTGTCTTGTATGGCAAACAAAAAATATTAACAAAATATAAATTACAATGATTCTATTTATTTACAACATTTCTATCCTGCTTTTCTCCACCCCAGAGGGGACTCAAGGCAGCTTATACTTAGGCAACTATTTGATGCCTTCAAAAACAATGTACAGTTAAAATAAACATTTGAATAGAATTACAAAATATATTAAAACATTTAAACATATAAAACAATGCCTTCACTGATAACCACATTATCCAAGGTTATAGTCTGGGCCATTCCAGTAGTCATTGCACATAATTCCAATTTTATCTATTGCATTGGATCTTTAAAAGCTTGATCAAAAAGCCACGTTTTTACTTTCTTATGGAAGGTTAGGAGGGAGGGGGCGGATCTAATATCCCTAAGAAGGTAATTCCATGGCCAACTATATGCTCCACAATTTTAGACTATATGCGCCACAATTAGTTTGAAAAATAAATACCTATGGCTATCTATATCTGTCCAGATAAGGGAGAGACAAATATTCATGAAACTGGTTATAAGATCAAACTAATTATCTGGCTTTATTTCTCATCACCAAGGCAAGTGAGTATGGTTTTATGTTAAACAAGTCAAGTGATAATGTGCCACCTTCTCATTGATTCTCTCACAGTGAAGAATTCTGGAATACTTAATAGATCACTGCTGTGCTCAGAGGCAGGGGGTCCTATTACATGATCCACATGCATATTCTATCACCTCTGATGAACCTGCAAATCATTGTGTACATAACCTCTCATCTATATAAATTAATTCGTGATAGTAGGCAAAGATAATACCCAATCCCCTCGTGCATTGTTATACATGTTTAAAGACTGTAAAGTGCACCAAGGCTGAAAGAATAGTAATTTTAAAAAATCCCCAAATAAATTAATAAATCTGTGTATATTACCTGAAATGGGGGTTGCGACTGTTGGTTGTATAGGATAGGCCTGCTGAACAAATGGCTTTATGCTGAAATAAACCATTGGGCAATGAGTTTAGATAGTATTAAAACATTTTTTATTTATATATAAAAACATCTCTTGAGTCCTGAGACAAATGCTGTCTAGCACATGAGCATTGCTTATTCTAAATATACTTGAATAGCAGGGCTCCTTAAAGTCATATACTTGGTCTTAAATGGGACTGCTGGAAAATAATACTCATGGAATACATAAAAAGCTTGTGTACTATTATTAGAAGACAGGGTTCAAAGGAATAAATTTCTTTGGCACTCCGCATTTGCAGATTTCACTTTTGTGGATTTGATTATTCATGTATTTGATTAATATATTCCCTCTGGGAATCTCTATGTCTTCCAGTGTGATTCTACTGTCAATCTCTACTATAGAGATGTGCTGGAGGACCTAGAGATTCTTAGAGGGGACACATTTCTAGGCATTTGTAATTCCTCCACTGTGATTCTATGGTAAACCCCCAGTAGAAGTTGACTGCAAAGTTGAGATGGAAGACCTAGAGATTCTGAGAGAGGAGTTCTCTCAGGTAAAAAAAATGGGATTTTGAAATTATTCATGGTTTTTCCACTTTTGTGAGTGTCCCGAACCCTTAACCCCAGCAAATGTGGAGATTTGGCATACACACAAACCCAGAGTGTTCAGAATACACATGCACACAAATCCAGAGTGCTCAAGCATTTCCATCTGTAATACACTGACACTTTTTTAAAAAATTTTTTTTAAAGCAACAGGGATATTTATTTGTTGCCTGGCAAATGCAGGCTGCAATACTGATCTAACCTAGAGTTACTGAAGGCTTTGACCTCAGTTCTCCTAACAGCTGCTCATACTGTACTAATGAGGTTGGCCAAGTCAGCATCCAGGTCCATAGGTCAAATAAAGACATTCTACAAAACCGGACTGGGAAATCCATACCATTCCAGCAAGTGACCCAAGGGATGTTTGGTCATGACCTCCTGCCATCACCCTAACATGCACTGTGGTTGGGGGCAGTCCTCAAGATGGCACACATATGCTCAACTTCTCTCATCACATTCGTTTACTCATTTATTGGCTGTACTTCTGTAATGCTCTAATACAGAGCTGCATATGGAGACAAATAAAATGCAACATGTGTAGAGACATGTGTGAACTGAGACATCCCAGAGATGTTTGAATGTAGTATGCCTCTTAACTCTAAATATAAACCTGCCAGAGACACACAAAAAACCCCCACTTTCAATTGCATAGTAGTTCGGTCATGACCAAAAGAAATGCTAAATGCATACAGAGACTAGCAAGTGGAGTGGATTTGTCCCTGTATTATCAGATCTAAGCCTACTCATTCAACCTCAAGCGCCCTCAAAAACTGCAGTTCTTCCAACTCCAGAAGGGGAGAAGTTTTCACTGAGATTAGATCCTGATCACATGCATTGAAAAACAAGAAATTGGAGCAAATTTTGAAAAGCCTGATTTTATCCATTGACCTTTGATCTCATGGTCTACTGCAACCATTATGATTACAATGCAATGTGGGTTTGTAGAAGGGCAAGAAATGTCTTGTAATATTTTTGTATTTAAGGAACTAATGTTAATTAAATATAGAGGAAAAATATTGCTATACAAAAATTTAATTTATTCTGTTCCATTTGCTCATGACTTGCCTTCATTCTATTTCAGATATATGCGTATTTAAATAAGTACATCATTATATGAATAGCGGTGCAAATACACACCTTTGAAACAAAGTAGTATGTTTTCCCCCCAGACTTACTCTTGTGAAGATCCAGGCTGTCCTGTTTGTATCATCCCTGGCCAAAACTAGATGGGGGAAAAAAAAAAAGAAATGAAAAACACCAGTCCCCCATTGTTTTCTTTAAGAGGACATTTCCTCTGCTGTTCTTTCACCAAACAATTTTATAACAGGAAAGGAAAATACATTTTATGCATAAATTAATTGATCTAGACTTCATTTCCTGCCAATCATTGTTCTGAAATGTATTTTTTATTGCATTCAATTAACTTACACCAGGTGCTCCAGGAAATGTAGGACGGGGAATTCCTGGCAGGCCCAACTTATTGTGAATCGCTGTTGCAGATACTATTTGAGCTGATGACATGGCTGCCATGTGTTGGAGTGCTTTGTCCTTTGCGGTCTGATCCTTTAATATGACAATTACAAAGTAATCATTAATGAACTGGACACAACAAATCACACTGAGCAAGCGCAGCTAGAAAGCACATGAGCTAAAATTAAAAAGGCTCAGGAAATGTGCAAAATAAAAGCATACCGTGCAGAAAATGTAGTATGGGGGCTCATATGCACTCAGATTGTCTGGAGACAAAGTTCTCTCTTATTGTGAATCTATTTCACTATGAATACTATGTTCTATAGCAAAACAGTAGGAAGCCAACTGGATTTAAGTTGGAAACTGAAATGAAACTTTATTTTTAGATTTTACACAAGCAGAAAAGATCCTTAACCATTATTTTCTGAACTTCAATCCAAATAGGAGAACAAGAGCATCAGATCACTAATGATTGAACAAGAATAGTAATAAGAGCAAGAAGCAGGAGTAATGACTCTGATGGTGAAATTGATACCACCCAGTCAAGTTAAGTGCTACTAAATCCTGTTGATTTAAGTGTGAGAGATTTAAATAGGTTCTTAACTCCTACATTGAAATCCATAGGATTTAGAAGCAGGAGCGGCCGGTAATACATTTATTGTGGTTGTTGTTGTTGTTGTCGTCGTCGTCGTCATCATCATCATCATCATCATCATCATCATCAAACACACAGTCCAGTCTGATGATAATCACAGAATACATAGAATAATAGAATCCTTGAGTTGGAAGAGACCTCATGGGCCATCCAGTCCAACCCTGGCCCAAGAAACAGCAGAATCGCATTCACAACACCCCTGACAGATGGCCATCCAGCCTCTGCCTAAAAGCCTCCAAAGGAGGAGCCTCCACCACACTCTGGGGCAGAGAGTTTCACTGCTGAATGGCTCTCACAGTCAGGAAGTTCTTCCTAATGTTCAGGTGGAATCTCCTTTCTTCTAGTTTGAAGCCATTGTTCTGTGTGCTAGTCTCCAGGGCAGCAGAAAACAAGTTGCTCCCTCCTCCCTATGACTTCCTCTCACATATTTATACATGGCCATCATGTCTCCTCTCAACCTTCTCTTCTTCAGGCTAAACATGCCCTGCTCTTTAAGCCACTCCTCATAGGGTTTGTTCTCCAGACCCTTGATCATTTTAGTCGCCCTTCTCTGGACACACTTCAGCTTGTCACCATCTCCCTTCAATTGTGGTGTCCAAAATTGGACACAGATTTCCAGATGTGGTCTGACCAATGATGATGATGATGATGATGGCAACATCAACAACAAATGTTGTTGCCTAGCCTGCCATGTGGGGACACCTGGATATAGTGCCACATGTATTAGGAAACACTGTTTTTCATCACTGATTGTTGTAATTTAGTAGTGGAGTATACTGGAATGTTCAAGGAGAGAACTAATTCAGTGGAGAATGCTTAAAGGCAGACTAAAGGAAATAGGATTCTTCTATTCTAAATGTCAATAATGCAGTACACCACTGCAAATACACATTTAAGGTACATTTTCAAGATCTATTTGGTCCTGAACTTTGGACAGAGCAAATTGCTGGAGGTAGGCAATCCTGTTCTTTTGAGCAGGGAAGGGCAGTCAGCTACATCTTAAACAGGACAGAATTATCTAAAGACAATAGGAGCAAACAACTAAGGAGGGCCAGATGGGGATTCTAGGAGCTTTAGTACAAAAGGCTTTATTCAACTATGAGTTGGTTACAGCCTCAGACAAGTAAAGTATAATAGAATAAAATAGAATTGAATGGAACAGAGACATGACCTGGGCAATTGACACAATTGTTCCAAAGCATCCTTTACTTGAAAAAAAAAGCATGAGTAAGGGCCCATTTTAGTCTCTGCTTTCAGCTCTTCTTTTACACCAGCTCAATCTCATGGAGTGTAGCTGTTCTAGGAAAAGGGCTATTTCATTCTAGACCACAAACTGCCGAAGAGGAACCCTCAAAAAAGTGCTGTCCCAAATTTGCTAAACACTATGAATAGAAAATTGCTCAGATTTGCTCTGATCTGGACCTCATATTGAAGTACAACCTGGGGTGGTAATTGAAGCATTTACATGTCCAGTTTTGATGCATGCATTTCAGTTGGTTTAACATGATGATATGAACACATTGCTTGGATGACCTCTCCCAGCAGTTTGCTTGTCAGACTTATATCGACTCTGGCTAATTAAAGCTACCAGGAGTAAACTGGCTAACTGGGTGGTGGAGGCTGCTTTTTTAAAAAAATGATAATGTTCCAATGTCTCTAAAGAAGCAATTGCAAGAGCTTTGTTGTAAAAATCTTCATTAGACCCCCCCCCCCCCCCCCCCCCCCAAGGTAAATGTTAGCCAGTTCCCAATCTCCCCTTTCCAAGTAAGTTCAAGAGGAGTGAGCAGCAAGACAACTCTCTTGGATCAAATGGGGTACCTGGACCCATTCCAATCTATGTTCAGGCCTGGTAATGGGGCAGGAACAGCTTGGGTCACTTTGGAGGATAATCTACACCAGGAATTGGACAGGGGGAACAAATCTTTATTGGCTCTCCCAGGTCATTTGGCTGATGTGGGATTTGCGGACATTGCTTGCAGTGGTTGCAGTCTTTCTTGCAGAACATTCTAAGGGCCCATTGTACACTATCCATTCAATGTGGTTTCAATGTCAAACAAGGTGGTTTCACTGTGCAGATAACTATATAGGAAACCACACAAATCACAGAACACTGACACACATTAAGGACTTTCTTTCACATGCTCTTGTGGGAGTTTGTTGTCTGATGGTTGCAGGTTGAAGTTAGCTTCAAACTGCATTAAATGGTCAGTGTAGTTGAGGCCCCAGAGAAGGCTGCTGGAGAAGTGTAGATCAACCTTTTGGGCATTAGACTGTGGAATCCTACAGGAGTCAATACTGTCAATATCTACATGAAGCTGCTGTGAGAGGTCACCCAGAGCTTTGAGTTTTGGTGTCACCAGTGTGTTGATAATATCCAGCTGTCTTTTTTTACAACTTCCGCCAAAGAGTCCATGGCAGTCCAATTGTTGTTGGATGCAGTAAAGAGCTGGCTGTGGATAAACTGATAAAGGCTTAATGCAGTAAAAATGGAAGTGATGCTGGTCAGTAGGAGAAGCTGAGTTTAAATAAACAGCCTGTACTGGATGGGGTTGCACTTCCTCTAGATCATCTGGTTCATAGCTTGGTGTGCTTTTGGATCTAGTGCTATTCTTGGAAAGACAGATCATTACACTGGCCATTAGAGCTTTTGCCCAGTTTGTACCAGCTGTTCCCTTTCTTGGGGAAAACAGATATGACCACAGTGGTCAGGCAATATTACCTCCTGATTAGACTACTGTAGTGTGTTCTATATAGGGCTGCCACTGAAAAGCGTTTGGAAGCAGTAGCTAGAGAAAAAGACAATAACTAGATTGTAACTAAGTGTCAGATGTAAACTATAAAGTATATACCACCAGTCCTGAAAGAACTGCACTATATTCCATTTGCTTCTGAACTCAATTCAAGGAATTGATTTTGACCTACAAAGCCCAAAACAACTTTGGCGCAAAATATCTGAAAGGCTACCTCCTCCCATATGAGCCTGCCAGAAAATTGAGATATCCAGAGGAAGCCCTGCTGCACATCCTGAAGCTAGGTTTGTGGGTACATGTTGCAGGATTTTCTCTATAGTAGCCCCTTGACTGTACAATCCCCCACCAAAGTAGGTTAGGTTGGCCCCATCCAACAGGCAGCCAAAACAGTGCTCTTTCATGTGGCTTTCAGTGTTTAAAAGGGCTCTTGTAACTTCTTCAAAATGGGTTCTATGATTTATTTTAGCCTGCTTTAATGCATTTTTTTAAATTTTAATGTATTGCAAAATGTTTTTTTTATCTTTGTAATGCCTTAATTGTGTTAAATAAACAAATACTTGCAAATTTACTGGCATGGGGACAATCTGAACTGAGAACATAGCATGGAGCTAAAAGCTACACCAGCTCTCATACTACTAGGGTCCTAATCCAGATAATCTCCCCTTGATTTATTTGAAGTTAATTAAACAAGCAGGTTTTTTCTTATTTATAAATGAAGCCATTTTACATTCCTCTGGATTTTTTGATAGAATCATTCTGTGGTTATGAGCTATTGGCAAAATTGAGGGAAGTGATGCAATTTAAGTGCCCATTTCACATCATGTACTTCCTCATTTGGAAAAACAATGGTTCGTTACAGGAAATGCTAAACTTTGAGTATAAGATGTAATATAGATGAAGAAACACAAGCACTAAAAGCAGATTCATTGCTACAAGCAAAGTTGCAAGCATGCTGGCCAGGAATTGCATGCCATCCAATATGGTAAATAAAGTCACACACATATTCCCTGAAAAGCTCATAACACAGTAACAAGAAGATAAGCAGCTCTTTCATTTGAACAGCTCATTTAGAAACAGAACAGGCTAACAGTACAATTAAAGCCGGCTAAAACAAAAAGTAAAAGAAAGTATCTGCCAAGCACAGCTGAAGGACATAATGCTTGCTTTACTGAAAAATACTTACCATGCTTGTTACCTGGATGTAACAATAAAAAGTTTATTAAAAGGCTTCTGTATGAGTGCAATTTATCAGCAAAATATGCTACAGCACAATTAAAAATGGAAGGTTTTCTTGTTATTTTGTATGCATAGTTTAAGATGGGTTATGAATTTTCACCAAGGAACTGATTCATCAAGAGAATAAAAGAACGGAGTATGTAATTTTGTCATGCTGACAAAATTAACTGTCTAATTTGGCAACTTTTGGTTTTCCACCTGCTTGGAAACTTGTGAAGATGTCTGTATTGAAAACTCAAAAGAGGTTAGCCATTTAAAGCTGGATTACTGGGGGTCTGGCAGCAGAGGGAGCACCTGCTTCCAGTAGCGTTGTCTTCTCCACCTTGTGCAGAATGCAAGGCAGAAACCTGATCAGGTGTTAATGCTTACAGAAGCGACATTAACACCTGTGGAGCCATCTGCTCCTATATAGTCCTCGGAGAACTGGCTGAGAGGAACATGGCTGCTGAAGAAACTATACTTTTAGCAGGAGCAGCAGGGGTGAAAAATACTAAGGAATCTACTTATCCAAAAGATTAACTGCACAACCTGACCTATTTTTGGTTCCTAAACCTTTGGATCTCATGTAATTATTCTGAATGATTAGAAAGACAGTTTGTTTGGTTAGGGGAGAGTTTGTTCATTCTAAGGCAAGTTTGAAATAAGAAGATCATGCTATGGCTGTCATTCTTCCCGATGATATCACAACCAGAGCCTACAAACTATGGCATTTTGAGTGTCTGGGCTGAGCTAGATGCTTCCATGTCAACAACTAGGCCTGGTGTCAAGAGCTGCTACTCAGTAAGGAGGCTGGTCAATAGAAGACTTTGCTCCTGTGGTATCAGAAGTGGGCCTGGGCCTCTATATTGCCTACTACTTGGAGGAACAATGCAAGCTATTCTGTGCCTGATGGGAGATCTTGGACATACACAACAGTTCTAAGTATCTCACTATGACACTGAGTTCAGTCACAGGGCTCTCTTTATGATGCCACTCCTCCTCCAATTCCCACTTTCCAAACGTTTAATTATTTTTTTATTTTATGGTCTCCTTCTAAGATCCAAGTTCTATCCAATTCCCAATCTTTCTATTAAATCAGTTATTTTAGGCTCTCCTTCTAGGATCTAGGATCTACTTGAAAACAGTGCTGTACAGTTGGTGACTATTATTACTACTACTACTACTACTACTATTTATTATTTCAAATGTACATGATGCTTTACCGTAAAATAAAAAGTTGCAAAATCTAATATACATATATGTGTCTATTCCTTGTGTTCAGGTGTTAGTTCTGAACCAGTTATATAAAATGGTAGAAAACTGCAAATTGCCACTCACCTTGGGAAGGCTGGGCACAGAAGAGGGCATGATCAGCATGTGAAGCCTCATGCTCCTTGCCCCCTCTGGCATGCTCCTTTCAGGCTTAACAAATGAAGTACCTCACTCTCTCAGAAATGGATGTGGTATAGTTCCTGAATTTAGAACTGCACCCACTTAGGAAGGAGTTTTCATTAAGAAAAATGCCTTGCTTGTGGGAACTGACTGTCTAGCTTGTATTTCTAAACAATTTCATGCCTAAAGTGACTTCTGCGAAAGTGTCCCTTGTTTCTTTCAGCACCCCTGATGATCCACTGTAATCTGGATTATATAGTTAATGTGTTGATGCATAAAGGATCCTAACATTTTGTTGAGAAGAGATGAGAACAGGTAGCATCCAGATCTCCACTAGTTTATGGTTTAAACATCATTTCATCTCTACATAATGAAAAAGTAGTTGTTTCCTCTTTATTCTCCTCCTCCAACCAATATGCAACTATTTCTGGAGTAACTCATAACAACTGATTAATCATGTATTAAAATGCTTCATGACAGTTTGAGCAGCAAGTGGAGAAGACTACATCCAATTAAAACTGGATGGGGAATTTAGGCAGGCAGATTAGCAGTAATTACCTAAACTGGAATTTGGCCAAGATACATGACTTAACACCCGTATTCTCCACCTCTGAGTACACTGGGATCTTTAATGAAGGCAAGTGATCAAGACCTTGACTGCCTAAGAAAATAAGAGTCTCTTTCCACTGTCAGTTATGCTGCAGTAAATATGAAACAGCTTAATTGGAGTCAAATGAAATTATCCAATCAGTAGTGCAAATGTGAACAGAAATTCAGTTTACATGGATGTACTCTGATAGAATACTGGTACCAGTATGGCTGTAGTTTTATTTCCTGTAGCTTAAAGTGTTCCTTGGCTGGCTGTTTTCCAGTAATGGTCTTTTGACCTAACTGTCTATATTTTCAATTGTAGAATAAACTAGCATTTTCTATTAATAAAGGTGTCAGAGCAATCCCTGAAAAAGACTTGGCTTTGCTCTTTAAATTCAGAGCTCTGCAAAATTAATTTTTAAAAATATCTTATCTGAATAGCAATTTTTATATAGGGACTCATAGGTCAATGAAATAGATGGCAAGATGGAGGGATCTGAGAGATTATATTTGGTTTATATGGTAGCCTTAGCCAAGCAAAATGGGGGAAGCAACATGAAGGCTTTGAAAGGCCCTAATGTCTTGACATACTGCCTCTGTAAAAGGAAAATGACATAACTTCCACGGATGATAGCCACTGACAGATTTATACATGTGTCTAATTCCTTTTGAAAGCCACCATAACAATATGGAAATGAATTCCATATGAAAATGTCGCACATTGCAATGGGCTTGTTTTTTCTGTCCTATAATATTATGTTGTCTGTCCTTAATCTGCTATAGCCATTTTATTGGTTGATTTAGAATTATGAAACAAGTATTTTTTTTCTCCTTGTCAATGTCCATCTGTTGTAACTTTATGAATTTATTTTAGAGTACTCTTTCACTATTTTTTTCTTGTCAGGAGCGACATGAGAAATTGCAAGTCACTTCTGGTGTGAGAAAGTTGGCTGTCTGCAACTCTCTCATACCTGGATGTTTGATGTTTTACCATCCTTGTGGGAGGCCTCTCTCATATCCCCGCATGAGGAGCTGGAGCTGACAGAGGGAGCTAAATCAGCTCTCCCTGGATTCGAAACGCTGACTTTTCAGTCAGCAGTCCTGCTGGCACAAGGATTTAACCCATTGCATCACCGGGGCTCCATTCTTTCACTATCATCTCTTACTAAACTTCATAGCTCTGAACATTTTGATAATTTACTTAAAGGAAATTAGTTGTGGAGGTCATTCAAGAATAGTAAGATTTACTGTATCTACGAAAATGTCATGTAAATCAACATATCTTTTAATGAATCAGACCTCTGTGGTTTGAATGTGTTTCCAAAACAATGAAATAATATCCATAGGCAATGCAACTCATTCCATTTTTAAAAAATCTGAGACAAAACATGTTGAAATTTTATATGCCAAGAAAACCAGGAAATTTGCTCCTAATCTGTTTTACTCATAACTCATTTTACTCTGAAATATTTCAATAAGCCCAATTTTTTTCTAAAGTAAATTATTTTGCATCCCTGGGGTATTACATGAAAATATATCCATGGTATAATTAAAAGAATATAACATGATTTTTAAGAATCGGAAATCATAGTACTGTGCAATTTCATTAATACTAACACAGAAATCTATCAGAACAAAACTTTAAAAATATAATGCAAAACCAGGGAAACTGCAATTTGCTGCTGAAATGGCTTTTTACAGTAAAGCACAAAAAGCAAAATAGTTTCCTAATAAGTAATTCTGCAAATCCTATTTCTGGTCACATATTATATTGATTTGAAACCTTTGAAATTATTTGCTGTAATTTTTTTGTAAAAGATAAACAAACCATGGAAGCCTACGGTTGTTCTGGACAAAAGACAGTTGAATAATTGTAGCCATGATCTCCAATTTGCTTATTATTAGAGAAGGCAGTAGTAAATACAAAAGCTGGCTATTTCAGCCAGGCAATAGCTAATGCTAAAAAGAGAACGCACATACAAAGCCATCCCAACTTGCTGCCTAATGAGGAGCAATTAATCCATCTTATTGTATTTCAAAATGGAGAAGACTCCATTCACATCAAAGGGAATTTTTTCAAGGCTTTTATCATTGTTCATTTTTTAAAAGAGAAGCCATACAGAGCTATCTTTGGCATCCTAACTGTCAACAGTATCTTCTTATTACATGCATACTATGTGGAATGTACACTAATTGATTTTGAAGTATTTCACACATGTGAATTGTAGACAATTTTTTTTAAAAAATTGGCTTCCCTTAATGAATTCTAAAACCATATGCTAATGAACACTGGAAAGCAAATGTAAAGATTTCATTATTTCTATGATAAAATTACTATTTTAGCTATCTGTAAACCTGCTCATATATTTGGAGGGTGAACCGCTTACATGTGTGTGTGTGTGGGGGGGGGGGGGGGGGGGGGGGGTTGCCTACAAAATGTGAAACTGGTTCACAGTTTGGGAAAATATAATGTCATGGCACACCAGTGCAAAAGGAGAAGTTGCAGCATTTCCAAGAGAGAAGAAACAGCAATACATGAAGAATAAAAATATCATTGGGAATGCTTAAGAACATTTAGAGAACGTTTTCAAAGTTGAATCCAAAAGTATAAACCTTTCCACAGATCTATATTTGGAATCATCAAAAGTGTTTCTACTATGTCATATGTGCGATAGAGTTGTGACACAATTTTTCAGAATGGTCAGTTTGTATATTCTTAATGGTTCAGTCAGACTACAGCTTTCATTAGCCAGATAACAAATCAGTTACTGTTAAATTACAAAGAGTGGCTTTTGGCTTGCTAGGGGAGACAAACGAGAATTATTCATTCACACATGCCACCCTAAATATGAATGGAGGCTTGCAAGGTCATCCATCCATATTTGCTGGAGTCAGGAGCACAGATCTCCTGTGAAAGTGAAACAACACAAATAAAAATGATTCCCAGAAAGAACATTTTAAATCAAATCCAGAAATAATCAAATGCTAAATCAGCAA